GAATTGGCCCAAACCCTCTGGGGCCCACCCCCTCCCTCAGCCGACGTCCTCAGGAGAGGAAGCGCCCTTCCGGGAGGATGCTGGGCATGGAAACCGGTGGCCCCTGTTGGACGGTTGGCTCCTGCCCAGGGTGGCCGGGCTCCCCACCGAGCACAAGGCCGGGAGTGTTCTGTCTGCCCCCATCTCTAACTCAGAAAGCCAGCGAGCCTTGCCTGAGCCTGGGGCCTGCAAAGCCCTCCCAGCTGGGGGCTCGGGCCGTCTGACGGCACACGCTTTGAGGACCTTCACATTGGAGCTGGGGACTTGGCCTCAGTGCACGCTGCAGCCACCCTGTGGGCCCCGGCCCCACCTCACCCGGGTTCCATCCAAGCATCCTCACAAACACACAGCTGAGAACCCGCCAACACAAACGGCCGGCAGCGGCACACGCCCGCCCGCCAGCCGGGCCCAGGGCTGTGGAGGCCACCTGTCTCTCCACGGCACAGGCCAGGGGTGCGGGGTAAAGCAGAGGGACAGGGCGGGGCCGCTGTCAGACACACGCCACTGAGGACAAAGGTCCAGAGGAAGGGACGTGGGGACAGCAGGGTCACCAGAGAACAGGCAGAGGGCACAGCGAGACGTCGCGGCGGGGGTGGGGTGGGGGGGGCGAATAAAAAAGCAAAAGAGAGTGAACCAAGCGAGTGCGGAAGAGAAGTGAGCTGTACCTAGTGTCATTTCCGAACGAAACGCTAAAGGCGAGGCAGCCAGGACACACACGTACACACACAGAAGAGATGCACATGTCAGAGCACGCACCGTCACCCGACAAGCTGCCTGACATGGGCTGAGACGCCACTGCAGACGCCCACCCCCCCCCACCACGTCTGCAGTGAGAGCCTTGGCTGTCCCCAGCAGGACCAGGCAGCCACCCCTGGGGCTGCGACCAAGACCTAGAAGGACGCCGTCCACCCTGGGGGCCCCCAGATGGCTGGACTCTGTGAGGCCAGGCCTGCGGGCAGAGCCAGATGCCCGCTGCAGCTTGGCCCCCGACCTCCCAGCTCCAAATGCCACGTCACAGCCGCATGTCCTGGGGCCGTAAGCAGACATCTGTGTGCCCTGCTTCCTGGACAGACTGTCCCTGCCTCATCGGGTTAATGAGCTAAGACTCGAGTGCACTGGGCCGGGGCCTGGGCGGCACACGTTGGCATCACTACTGTTATCACTAGTCCTCCCACCTGGAGCCGCTGCGACGCACTGGGTAAGGCACGGCCGGAGGCCCCTTCCCTGGAGGCCAGGACAATGGACTGCCGGAGCCCGGGCCTGGGCTGTGAGGAGAAGCTAGCCCTCGGAGAAGCCCTCAGTCACGTTAGGATGTGGCTGTCCCCTGGTCGGACTCCAGTGGCCGAGAATCCCTCCCCAAGCCCCGGTCCAGTGGGCGTCACATGTGGGGTAGGGTGGTGGGCTGGGCCCTCTTACTGCCCCACCCCCCAGTGCCAAGATAGCCAGCCTCACCAGGGTCTGACCCGGCACAGCCAGGACGCTGCCCGCAGGCCCATGCCGTCTCCAGCAGACCAGCAGTGGCTTCATGTGGCCACGGGTGCCAAAACCTGGAGCCCAGGCATGTAGGGTCCTGGACGACAGTCCCGAGCCCCGTGCCCGAGGCCTCTGCAGGGCAGGGTTCTCACCCAGACCCCGAGTGAGTCCGAGTGGTGGCAGTGGGTGTGCTCAGGGTGGAGGGGGTGGCAGAGTGGCAGCCACACAAAATGGCCCAGGCTTTCAGGGCATGGGTGGGTGACCCCTCGACCACGCGGCAGAAAACCAAGGCCATGAGAAGCTGAAAAACAGCCACAGAGAACCCCAGGATACGCTGGGAGGCCAAGGAGATCACACAGGACCCCAACTCATGAGCAGCCAGGACCCTTTGGGGGCTGCTCTGGGCATCAGGTCATCCCAGGAAGGGAGCCCCTATTTCCTGCAGTGCCCCTCAGTCTGCCCGATGCAACATTCAGCCAACCCCTCAGGTACAATTACAGGAGAATGTGCCTCCCAGACTTGGGGTCCCTGGGCCTGCTGTGTCAGCACCACAGGGGAACATGTCAGAAATGCAGGCTCCTGGGCCCCATCCAGCCCCACAGTGACCCCCCTGCACCCACCAGGCACAGGGTCTGAGATACAGGGTCTCTCAAGACCCTGCGCCGGAGCCTTCCCGGGGGGGCTGGGGCAGCTCTCGCGGCACCAGGTTGGGCCACCTGTTTGGAGACATCAGATCCCTCGCTTGGTGGCACGGGTGGGGGTCACCATGGGGCGCCCGTCTGTCCCTCAATACTGCAGCACTTCCAAGGGCCCCGGGTAAGATGAAAGGAGGAGAGGTTGGAGCCAAGTGTCTTTAAAATCACGGCCTGTCATGAAGCGCTCCTCCCTGGCCCCGTGTGTGACGGCTCTGTGCACTGTGGATGCACCTGGGAGCAGTTAGTGTAAGAAACACGCCGTTTGCTCAGGAGGTATGTATGCATTTTACATTAACTAGGAATATTTTTAATTAAATACTAAGTACTAGTGATAACCACATGACTTAACTTTCTAGTCACGTGCACAAGTTCCTGTGCTAAGAACTTTTCACGTATCTCGTTTAATCTCACGACGTATGCCCATGCTGAGGGGGGAGGCAAACAAGGTTCCAGAGGGCTCTGCCACTTGTCCACACTCACACAGCCAGCCCAGGGCACAGCCAGGCGGCCTCAGTCCAGTCAGTGCAGCCGCAGGCCCCCGCCCCACTCCAGATGTCCGGGACGAGACCTTGTCTTCACACTGCCACCTCTGCCACCCCCAGTACAGCTCACCAAGGTGGCTCCTGGCCTGAGAAGGAGGCGCAAGCCAGATCTGGGGGCTCTGACCCCCGTTCCCTCTCTGTCTGAGCCTCCTCTTGCAGGCCAAGCCCCCAGGGCTGCTGAGCCTGTCCCCACATTCAGGGGCGGCCCCCTGCGTGGGTACAGGGTGAGGCTCTCCTGAAGCCGGGCGCTTGGGGAAGGAGGCCCTACTGACAAGGAAAACCATCTCCCTCATCCCCGTGTGCCTGGTCTGCTCCTGGCCATAGGGCACTGTTTCCACTTTACCAGAACCTTCCTGGAGGCCGATGTGTTCGAGTGGGGGTGTCTGGGACAGGCCCCAGCACCCCTCTATTATCCTGAGCTGGTTGTGGAAATGCAAACTTGAACAAAATGTCCACACCCCTCATGTGGTCACATTGATGGGCCTGGAAGTTTCCACTCATCAAGGAAACAGCCCCTAACGTGGGTCCTCTCCAGGGGACAACCCGGAGCAGATGGGCTCCCACGCGGAGCCTTCTGAGGACAGGTAGACGGCCCGGCAGGCTGCAGCCACCTCGGCCAGCCTGGCTCGCCTCCAGGACAGCCAGCAGTCCGCCTCCTCCAGCAAGCCCTCCCGTCTGCCCGGGAGAGGCAGGCCCTGCAGGGCTGTGGCCCCTCCTGGGTGCAGTGTCCCCTCCATGGGGCCTCTGCCTCACCCAGCTGGTGTCCCCAGGAAGGGCCTGCAGCAGCCTCTCACTGAACAGGTCGTCTGCAGACGCGCCCTCGAGGACACACCAGCAGGAGCCACAAGCTGGCTCTGTCCTGACCAATCGCAGCCACGACCTGACAGGGACCCAACCTCAGCTGGTCTGCCCCACCCCAGCCCCACCTCACACATTTTTCAACCCTGCTAACCCACAGGGGACCCACGGGACCACCACACCGAGCTCTAGTCACATCCACAGGGGCCCAGAAGGGACGGCCTAGGCCCTCTGCTCAGCAGACTTGAGCCTCACGGACAAAGTCTGGTTTAGGGACTGAGGCTGACCACCCCCAGGGCCTTGCTGACCCCACACCCGGCTGCTGTGGGCAGCGGCCTCGACTGCGTCCAGGACGGAGCAAGCTCCCTGGCCTCTGGGGCTTTGGACTTGGGACCACCCAAGCGAGTCCACAGGCTTACTGGGCCCTTCACAGCTTCACCGCCCACCTACTTCCAAAGGGGTGTGTGGTGCCATGGCCAGGCGGGGGGCTTGCCCCGGGGTGGAGGGGCGGGGGGGAGGTCTCCTGGCGGGCGGCCCCCATGCCCCTCCGCTCCCGCTTTTCTCTTTCACCTTGCAGGGCGCCAGGCCAGCCAGCCTACATGCAGGGCACCTGCTTCCCTCTGGCAGGGCGGGGTCAGGGTTGGCACGGGGCGGGCAAGGCTCGGGGCAGGAGGAGCAGAAGGCCAGCCAGTGTCTACGGGGGGCAGGAAACTACCACAGCAGCCAAATCAAGAGTGGGGGGCAGAAGGGACTCAGCCAAGGGAGGGGGGAGAAGCAATAAAAACAAAATCAAGAAAGTATTCCAAGGAAATAAAACTAAAGAAAATGAAGAAACAGGAGGGAGAAGTGAGCAAGTGTAGAAAGAATCCAGAAAGCCGAAATTAAATCTGAGGGCTGTGGGGGGCG